GTGGCAAAGGGGGGCAACATTTGGGACAGTGCAGTTCAATGGATGTTGTGTTCGGTTCGGTTCCGTTCCTTGCGCTGTTTGGATGAGGCTCCAGTTAGCAGCAATCAGTCTCTCAGTTCTAAAAATCTGGGTTATTAAACAATTGCAAGAGCACTGCAAGAGTTGTTACCCATTGGTTTTAATTCTCACTTTTGAGAAGTGAGAGCCACTGTGGTTGAGAATATATTTSTTATCAAGTGCTTGGTTTGCCAATGGACTGACCTGTTCCTCTTTCACTAACTGGCATCATCTTCCTCTTTTATGATKTAAAATGCAATGGGAGCCAGAACTGTACCAGACTTTTCCCATTTAACATACTGAAAGCTGCCAGCTGTGTTGCTCAGCTGTAAATAGATGGGTTGCTGATCTGCTGGAGGGTTTTAAGCCGCATGTTCCCTGAACTTCATTAGATGTAAAACTACAGATATTGGCGTGATGTCGTTTTTCATGACAGACCCATACATTACAACAGCTAACCAAGCTTTCCAAAAGTCCCCTCTGTTTTCCTTACACTTGTTGAGGATGCTGTTACCATGACAGTCCCAGGGGACTGAAGTGTGCAGGCCAGAGAGCAGGTTTGCTTGTGCATCATAGCAATGTCTTCTCCCTCTCTTCTGTCCCACTGGGAACTTCAACACAATGGTTTGATGTGGTGAAYGTAGGTTACCTGCACATGAAAAATGCAGGTAATTGAATTATACACCAACATAATCAACTACGATGCAGTTCCCCTTTGGATACTCATGGAGTAGTTAMTCCTGGTGCCATTGGTTCTCACAAGTGAGAAGCTTTCTCTCTGAGGAAGGGTCTGTTTGCATTTTGCTGATTACTGTGTGTAGGAGGACACAGACATTTGGGAACTGCTGATGTAAAAGAGCCGGAGCAGTTAGCTTACAGCCTGCCTTTTAGAGAGCCTGTATTAATTTAACTATTCAGTTTGAAAATAATGGTTTCTAAGCCAAGTTAAAATTAGTATAMAGGTTTATCTACATAGGCGAGATCTGTCTGGAAGATTGGATATTCTGTCTGTAGTCATCTGATCTGACCTCTCCCTTGAAGCAGGCAGCATGTGAGTGCTGATTGTAGTGGTGGTTTTTCTGAAGTGCACTAAGATCACTAGCTTCTTTCTCACAGGGCACCGAAGGATCATTAAATGCTAATGACTTTTGATTACTGTTGACCTTGGTCAATTTAGAATTAGTGACCTAGAGACGAAAACCACTGTATCTCATTACCAATTTCCTGAGCTATCTGATCTTTCCTTTGTAAGTCAGTTTTGGTAAGAGGCAGAGTAGAATTAAAGTTGACCTTTGCCTTAGAAAAAGGGTTGAGTGCTTTCAGGTTTATAATATCACTTTTATAAATAAATAAATAAATAAATAAATGGCTGCCACTAAGAAAGAACTTATTTTCTGACCCCATGGACTGTTAAGAGCAAAGCTCTACAGAAAAAAAATGGACAAGCTCGAGTAGCAGCAATGGGGAACAAATGCATAATTTGCCTCTTTTAAATTAGTAGAAAAAGAGTTTATCTCTTGTAACCTTGAATTGAATTCTCCTTTTGTGGTTGCACGTTTTCTCATCTCAGAGTAAATTTACAATWCTAGGTTTTACTTTGAACTATGAAGAAACAAATTAATGCTCATAGAATGCATTGCAAATTCTSCTCTGGGATATTTTCTACCTGTAGCTTCTAAACTATGATATTGGGGAATATGTCTTAGCAAGCTTCTAAAATAATATTTTTTATGTTGTAATGAAGCATTTGACATTATTTCTTTTGATATGCTCAGAAGAGGATATCTGTAGGGTAATTCACTGTAATGGGATCAAGTRTATTGTTCACTGCAGGTTGTGTAAACCTCGGCCTTTTTTGTCACAGTTGTGGTTTATATGAGCTGTTGAGCTGTCATTCATGCAGCAGGCATGGTCTTGAAATCAGAATAAAAATACAAGAAAAAATTGGACCATTTTTTCTCACTCTGATATATTAGCCRCACTTATTTTGGTCCTTTAGGGAAAAAAAAAAGCATAGCAAAGTCTTTGGTGTTTGGGGTATAAATATGAAGTTCTTCAACCTCTCACTGAGGTTAAATTGCAGGCTTTAAGCAGCTRAACAAGAAAGGTAACAGGAAAAAAATGAGAGTGGGAGATGTTGCACTTGAGGTAGGAAAAGGTTCATGGAAAATGACCTGAAATCCATACAAGTGCATGTTTATTTGCTGGTAACAGGGCTAGATGTTATTCTTAAGTATGTTTTGTTTTGTTTGCTTTTTCTTGAAATAGATATTGCTTAAAAAAACAACAACAACAAAAAAAAGATTTTATAGGTACAAAGGAGACATTTTAAAAAGATTAAAACTACATTGGTAGAGAGATAAAAACATGCCGTATATAGCCTGTATGCTAGCTAAGTCTACAAGAGTAAGAAATGACTGTGAATAGTCAATCTTTAGATTCGTATTTTRCGTAAGTTTGCGTTTACCTTTTGACTGGGATGCTCAGGGCTTTACTATTGTTTTCTTTACAACATTAAGGACATTTAGGAAACAAAATGTGAAAGCTATCTTAGTCGATAATGTTACGCAAAGTGTTTAAATCATCATAAAAATGAAGCAGTTGAGAATATTCGTTAACAAGTATGTTGCTAGTGTAGCATGAGTTCTATACAAAAATACATTTTAGCTGTTTTGGACTTTGGTTTAAAGCTTCTAGTCTTGGTTCAATATGCAATTCTACTCTGATACTATTCTCTTTCACAGCTCCTTGCTATTCTGGGAAGTATTTTCTTTTTTCTTTTAACATCTATTCTGGCTTCTTTGAGAGTCTTTACAATTTTGCCCATGTTTCTTCCTGCTTTTAGTTTTCTCTCTTTTTTTTTTTTTTTTTTTTCCCCATAGAAGACCTTAATGAGTAAGATTTCATTGCCCATTTTTCCATGCATGAGACAAGTAGATTGCATCCTGGCTACTTCCAGTGCTGATAATGAGAAACTTGGGAGAGAGGCGATTGGATGGTTTTGTTAACTGTAATGCATTTTTTTACTTGAGGAAATGAAGGGTAGAGCTATCAGTCCCCTTTCCAAATTTCTCTTTGCAAACAGAAGGATTGGAGTGGTGGTTGGAAAGGACTCCTCCAAGTGACTAAATAATTCATAGATAGGTAAACAGAACGAGGCACCGCAGCTCTGTGGGTTGGGTTTAATGAGGTTTTTTTGTTTGTTTGTTTGGATTTTGAACATGTATATTCCATTTTTAAATGAGTGCTTAAAGTTAAGTTAAATTGAATGAGAATTATTAGTGGCCAGACAGGTAGATTTGTTAAACAGTAACATTGTGTATTTATTTTGGTTAATCAAGATGTGTCATCTGAAATTTGTTTCCTTGTAAGGGGAAATTCAGAATTTAAACAATGTTAATAATGCATAGGCATAGTAACTGCCAAAGAAGACACTTGGCAACTTTACAAAAAAAATAAATGTATGCATTTCCTCATTGCTTACTAAGAGTTATTTCCTTTATTCATGAYGTGGTTGTAAAAAACAATTGGGAATTTTGATGAAAGTTTGTTTTTGTAGAATTGTCTAGTTCGTGTTACTACATGAGGAGCAGGCCTGTAAATAACAGATGTAGAAAAACTCAACTTACTAGAAGAAGGAGAAAAAAGAAACATCTTGATATCCTTGTAATGCAGCAGGAGAGACTGATGACRTATGAGAAAGAATACTCCCATTAGCCCATGGAATTAAATAGATTCCTCTATTGGAATTTACCTTTAGAAAGGTATAATTACAGTAGCAACATACTATTAAAAGTTATACCAAGAGTGGGCTTTGCTGTGACTCCTGTGYCACACAATGGTGTCAAGGTATATTATGTTCTTAAGGGATAGATGAAACTGGGATTTCAGGTGTGTTGCACACACTTGGATTTGAGCAGCAAAATTATTGCTTCAGTTCACAATGTTTAGTCAGGAGCTGATTTCCAAGGGCTTGTAATCTGCTCCYAATAGTATGAAAGGGACATGTAACTTGATGTGTAGTATCTCAAACTGGGAATATAATTCTTTGTTTAATTCTTCTCTTCTGGCATTTTGAATACCCATTAGGCCAGTGTTAAGATTTAAACATGAAATTTCCTGGACCCTTTGATTTAAAATACTTTTGGTCTGACTACTTTGCTTGTGAAATAAAAATTAATGTGCCTTTAAAGAACCATATTTTTCTTTTTCTCAGCTGTACATATCAAGTTTAGTTCTGTTAATATATAATTAATGAAGAAAAATGAGACTTGCTGAAGAAGATTTGGAGCACATTGTAATAAGCTTTCAGAAATGGATAGATCATTGGGTCAGAGAAGGTCAATTTTCTTGATCCTCTTGCTGGAGACAGACTGATCTAAACTGGGGATTTTGACTGGTCTTTCAACAGGCAGCAGTTCATAGGTTGTTTTTACTGACTGCCAGCGTATTGATTTCTAAATTCATTAAAGTAAATGTATAGTAAAAGAAGAAAACACTATTGTAGGAAAATAAATGGAAGCTGCTGCCGAATCAGAAAGAATAGTGAGCATGAACAGCACTGATTCTTTGAGGTTTGTTACTCCCATTTCACATCCATCTAATGATTGGTTTATGAGACTTAGTTTCTGAGGTGATGAAGTGCAGTGGAAGGTGGGATGAACCTGTAAGAGGTTTGTAGYTTTTCATAGGAATTCTGTGAAAATCTAAATCTATTCATATTCTGTTGTGGAATAAGTGTTATTTTTGTTAGAGCAGACCAAGTTTTGGTGGGTGGCTTAAGAGCAGGCAAAGATGGCAATTTGGGGTTTTATTTRCTGGGGTGGATTTTTATCCTGTCATGCAGATATTTCTTGTCTACTGGRGTCTGTCTGACTTCTGGGTTCAGGCGGAACTTGCTTCAGCTGCAGCTTCTCCCTCCTTTCCTTTCCTTTCCCAGATAGCACAATGTGCTGTCCGTGTGTGGTGTGTTACAGAACTCAAAGGTTGGTGGATTCACATTTAGGATCTGTCTTTCCCACATGGAATTAGCTGATCAGTCTGTCCCTCATTCTCATTATATTCTGTAGCCTCCCAGTGACCTTATCTGGTGTGTGAACACAATCTTTGGATTTGTACTGGTCATTGGTTTGAAGAAATGCGCAGAAACCTTGATTTTTAAATACTTTGGAAATCTATAAAATGAATTTGTGGARCGACAATCAAATCTCCCAACTCCTGCTATCTTTTGCCTTCTGCCAACTGCAGTGCTGAGAACCAGATTTTCTGAAGAGTCTGTGTTTTTCTGTATCTTTAAGAGATTTTTTTAAGTCTTCTTCCTTTTGAAATGTTTGTCCTGTGCAGTGGCAAAAGGGTTATTTTTGTAACTGGAAGGGCTGGAAATTTACATAAGGAGAAGGAAAAAAACTTATGCAAACTCAACAAACCCAAATTCTGTGCTGGGAATACCTGCTGTGTTCCCATTATAAACTCAGCCGTGAGCAGTTGTAACATCCCATCTGTGGGATGAGTTTCTTCTCCTTTAYCCATCCTTTTCCCTCTCTACAGTTCAATATGGTTTAAGTTGTTAGTTTCTCTTTCCAATCAATCTGTTGCAGATAAAAAAAGTAAGAAAAAGTAGGGAGGAGAAAGAAAAGATTGCTCGAAATAATTTCTTTGGAAGCTGCACAACCTCCCCTCATTGTATTTAGGAACATGTCTCCCTTTCAGCTACACCAGGGATAACCYACCATCTTCTTTTAAAGCAGCAGCAAGGAGATTTTGCGCTAAGATGTTGGATTGTGAAATGTAGCAGCTGAGGCATGGACACATCTCCTTCTGTTTCCCCCTTCCATGAGCAGTGCCTTCAGACAGAGAGGACAGATGTGTCTGGGAATGGCATCRTCCCCAACCACTGCAGCAAAGCCTCCAGATGAACCGGGCGTGCAGTTAGTGCTCCGTGTGGAGCATCTCCCCAGGAGACTGGTGATCTTTGCAATACCTGCACMCTCTCAGGGCAAAGGCATTGTGAGTGTGTGTTACAAAGCCACAGCTGTGATTCAAGCAGTTGGGATGGGGATTGAATAAACAGCCTGAGTAATAGTTCTATTGAGTCAGTGGCAGGTTTCTGTCAGGGGCTTCAACAAGATTGGTCCACCAACCTTTTATCCCTTTCATTTCCCTACTGTACTCTTGTCCAGCAAAACTAATTAAGGCAAAATGTGGCTAAATTAGCTTTGAAAGCAGAAGGTTTTTTTCTGTACAACTTGAAAGTCACTATAAAATCATATTTTAATTATCTCGGCCCCAATATTTTAAGGTGTGATATGTTGACACCTCATACCTAGTATTCTTTATTTCCCTGCTTTTATTTTTAAGTGGCTATGCTTATTTGGTGGTTTTTCTACACACTTGACCTGCTATTAAGGAAATCTGATCTAAATTTAAGTTCTGAGTAAACTAATAACTAAAAATCAGACTTCTTTCCTATTTAAATGCTTTGGTTGGCACAGCTTATATCCTGTTTATTTCAGAAAGTATTTGAGAACAAAATCGGACTGTGTTTGCGTCTCAAGGAATGATTTCTGGTCAAGACTCTAAATCATTCAGACTTCTTCATTTAATGCTTTGAAATATTGATTAAATATATTCACTCTGGTTTGCTTTAATCTGATTGCACATGTCGAAGTTTTCTTCTCATGTGGTGCAGCCACGTCTGGTGTAAGCTGGCTTAATTAGCACTGCTTAGTGATTTGGGACCCCTGTCAAAGGCTGTTATGTTATCTGGAAACATAAGGAGTTAAAGCTGAAGCTGTGACCTCATCCCTGTTCATGTTACACTGGAGTAGAAGCTGCGCTGAAAGGAATTGTTTGTCTGCATCTCTGTCTTTGCTGCTGCTGCTTGATTGCTTTAATTCGGTTCTGGTATCTGTTGCACATTTTTGCTGAACAACTCGTACGGTAGGGATTTGTGGGAGTGCACAAAGGAAGCTGTGCTAATATCGAATGCCCGTGGAAATAGCTCCCACGGCAATAGACTCAAATAGATCTTTCCACCTGATTTCAACTTCTTATCGCTTCCCCTGTGAAAACTGAAGCGGCACCGAGGAGCGCTCACACACACTCCCACACGCACGCACACACTGCTGGCCAGCCGTGCGCTTAAGCAACCGCGTGTGTCATTTTTTACTGAATTGCCGCTGGCTGCGTGGGAGATGCGGGAGCGATGCTGTGGCTTTAACGTGGGAGCGGCGCAGGCTACAATAGGTGTCACTGTGCGCGAGCCCAATCGCTCTCGGTGACTGCAGCCATTGGCTCCGCGCTGTGGCTCCAGCCGCACGCCTGCGAGTCCTGCTCCGCTSCCAGCCCCTTCCCGCACAACTTCAGCTCGCCAGCAGCCTGGCACTGCCACCSTGCGCTCCTCCTGCCCGTCCGGAGAGCCTGCCCTCTGCCCGGGGTGTAGCGCTGCCAGGCGGTTTCTGATCGGGAAAGCTGAAGAGAGAAAGCTGGCGGGAACGATGGGGATGTATTTAACAATTCAAGTACTGGATCAAACTTAGAGTCGCTTTCTTACTCGGTGCGCTGGAAAGGTCACCTTGTCTTGCTGGAAAAGAAGCAAACTCTCAGCTCTGCTGCTTTCGGTGTTAACAGCTTCCACGTGCATTCCTAAATGTTCCTAGCTAGTTAGGCTGTCGGGCTTTACACACGAGTATACTCATGGTAGATGAGAAAGGAAAGAACATGAAATGTCTCACCTTCTTCTTGATGCTTCCAGAGACGGTCAAGAACAGGTCTAAGAAGAGCTCTAAGAAAGGAAATAGCAGCAGCAGTAGCAACAGCAAATTGCCTCCTGTTTGCTATGAAATCATTACCTTGAAGACCAAAAAGAAGAAGAAGATGGCTGCTGATATTTTTCCCCGAAAGAAACCAGCTAACACTAATACAACTGCTGTCCAGCAGTACCATCAGCAAAATCTCAATAACAACAACACTATCCCTGCACCTAATTGGCAAGGACTTTATCCAACCATCAGAGAGAGGTAAGTTCAGGGCAGTTTTGTTGGTTTGAATGGAGGGGTGAAAAACAGTGAAATGTCCAGGATGCATTTATTTGCTGAGGAAAACACTGTTCTATTTTATTTGTTTGGGATTTTTTTCCATGTATGTGTGAAATAAACATCTTAGTAMTATAAAATGTTTTAATATTTCTTTTCCAGACAGTGAATCTGTTTGAGTAAATAAAAATGTTGCTGAAAGCTGTAGCATACCCRTAAAGATTTACTTTTAGACCTCGGTGGGGATTTTCAGTGATACATGCTCTGGACTTTGATTTCCACCTCTKGGAAAGTTCTCAGAAGTTTGGGGGTTTGTTTTATTGCACACACACACCCCACACACTTTTGCCTCCTTATTTTTTTCCTGGGATATTTGTGTGATGATGTGTAAAGTAGCTTGAAGCAAAGTGGAACCTACTTCTCTTTGCTTGCAAGCAACTTAGAGTTGCTAAGAAATTAAATTTCATGGGTCTGGGGTGTGCARAGATTTCCTGGGCACCACAAATTAACATGCTACCTCTGTTTATAGAAATGCAGTGATGTTCAACAATGACTTGATGGCAGATGTTCATTTTGTGGTCGGGCCACCAGGTGGGACCCAGCGGCTGCCAGGACACAAAGTAAGCAACAGCTGCACGATCTGTTCGGGCAGGGACAGCCRGAGAGAGCTCCCACGGTTACGCTGGGACAGAGCGTGGGAGGCTCGGCTCTTCTGGGACAGGCAGCAGTCTGTATTTGAAAAGGCCACATGGAGGGGGATAATCTGCTTTTCTTTGTGTTTTTGGTTAAACAGTACATTTGTTGGGCTAAGGCAGTAAAGTTAGGAGCACTGCTTTGTGCTGTTGWTTAATATTGCTCTTGAGATTTCCTAGAAATAGTTAACTTCTGTGGTGGAGATGTGCATTTTCCAGTAGCTAGTGCATCTATGCCCAGGAGAGTAAAATGCAAGGAAAACGTGTAATTTATTCTTAACTTGGACTTCATTTCTTACTGAAATGTGTCTGTAGAGCCTGTCAGTGAAGCCCAGTATGCTCAGAGTGGCTCTCCCACATTGTTTGTGTTGGCAGTGTTTTCCGTTCGAAGCATGAAATAAGATTTCCCTTTCTCAACAGTATGTCCTGGCTGTTGGGAGCTCTGTATTCCATGCGATGTTTTACGGAGAGCTTGCTGAGGACAAAGATGAAATCCGTATACCAGATGTTGAGCCTGCTGCTTTTCTTGCAATGCTGAAGTAAGCATCWTTCATCTGCTGGATATGTTTTCCTGTCTGATGTATACACACACTACTAATGTCATAGTTGAAGTATTAGACTTGCATATAAACAGAAAGTCATCGCTTCAAATATTCTTCTCTTTGTGTTTTAAACTTTCCCCTCATTCTGCTCTCCCCCCATACTTACAGGCAYACACATATTAGACTAATGTAGGCAGTTGTAAATAATGACTTTGACAGGGGATCTTTGAGCACATTGTGTACTGTAATGCCTATCGATCTGATTTGTCACTACACGTTACACAAAGGAATGGAGTTACTAAAAAGATTTGTCAGCTGTAACAAAAAACCCCAAACTGACTGTTCTACTTTGCAAGCATAGTGAAAAGTTTAAAATGCACRCACAATAGCCCCCCAAACCCAATAAATTGCTGGGTTTGTATACTGATATCATTCCAGCTCTAGTATAAACCTGCTGTAGGCAGGTCTTGTCTTAGACAAATGACCCTAAGTTATTCAATATAGCCTGTGAAAAATAAATTTCTCTGTATGTATCATATTGATGCATTTGGAAAGTGATAAAAAGGCTGTTTACAGGAATAGGGGGTTTTATCTAACAAGGAAAATGAGTCAGTTTACATGATCATTATTTTTCTTCTTGCAAACTGCATAAGAAATGCTGTCTTTTCCTAAATGGGCATAATGAAGCAGCTTCCGTGCTGAATTGTCCTTGAAGGTATCTRTAAACTCTGATTGTCAAAGAGAAATGCCCTATCACAGAAATGCTATGGCTTTGAAGGACTTTTTCCCCTTCAGCTTAAATAAAAGCCATCGCTTTCTTATACAGAAAATACATCAGTATCTGATAGTGATACTTTTAATATGCTGCAGGTGTTCTTGCATGTAATGATATAATCACTAGCTAGCAATTTATTGTATTTCATAGATTGTTTTGACTGGCTTGTGATTACGGAACAGTTTCTTTCTCTTTTTTTTTTTTACATTTCAGTGGCACCATAGATGAACATTCAAAGTTGCTTGTAGAGTTTTTATAGGTTATCATCAGCATCAGGAATGTTCTGTGTAAATATCGGTAACTGCCAGATAGAGCTCYACAGATGTTCTGTAGACTTTGAATATAAAGTTAATATATGAAGTTATGTAGGGAGGTATGTTATGGATCTTTGCTTTGGGCCTTTTTGGTTTTGTGGTAGAACTCAGACTTATGTTTTACTTTCATATTGAATTTTACAAATCACAAATAAAAGATATTTGGATTCTTCCAGCCCCCCCTCTTTCTCTTTGAACAGCAAATCTATTTCACTGTGGCTAAACACGGTRTGCCATATAAAAACTGAATGCTTTCTGAATTTATCATTGAGAAATGTGCACAGAAAGCAAGCYTTGAAAAGAGAGTATCAATACTGACATCTAGGTCCTGGCATATTGTTTAGCCCATGGCAATTTAGGAAACTATCTATGAGAGCATGATCAGAACCATGGGATTCATCACCTTCTCAGCTTTTATTGAAAAACCCAAAAGACCAGAAAAAGTTTGTGGTCTGTGTGGCTTTTGAGGTAACCCTGCTAGTGCTGCCTTTCACTGACGCAGTGTGCCTGGGGCTGCAGAGGACTCCAGTGTCTGCAGACACCGGGATGGTGCAGCCACAGTGGTGCAGGGGAGGCACAGGCATGGTGCTCAGCAGTGCATCATCCCTTTATTGCAGGATCCACTGCATGTGGAGCTTAGGGGCAGCCACCATCCCTTCCACTCCTTCCCCTCTGGAAAATCATCCCTGTGAGTGTTGATTTGCAACTGCTGTGAGCCATGGATAGCAGAAGACTCATGATACTGTTGCTACAGAGAGAAAGACTTTATCTATCCCAAAGCAGCCCTTTCCTTCATATGCTCATTTCCACATCATAAACTTTGTCAAGAAATACATAGAGTTTGATTTTGTGGGGTTTTTTGTTTTGGTGTCTTGCTGGAGTTTTTTTCCTCAGGACAATGAATTCTTACAGTATAAATATTTTTTGTGTTTTATTACACAGTGGGCATTCTGACAACAAACAAGGTGTTGCCAGGTGTAACAGGAAATACCTCAACTGGTAGATATTAAGTATTCTCCCAATAAAAGTACTTTGACTGTTCTCTACAGTTTTAAAAACAGGGTTAAACTCACAGCCTAGCTGCCACTCTGAATGGATGCTTTAATRTATTGTATCTTATCTCAGTCTTGACTGTTCAAGTTAGAACCATGATTGCATCTCATCCCAGGCTGAATGTGTTACTAAACCATCAATCCCTGTGGTCTGGCAGAGYCCTGTGTTTTGGAACAGGGTGAAACTGGAATATCAGTAATTGCAGACCAGAGTCGAGGTGCATTGGCAGAGAGAGAGGTATGGAGTATTGCTGACAGCCGGTCTGTGCTGTACATCAGTGATACTAGTTCTTTACTTTCATGAATATTAAAATAGCAACTTTTGTACTATTTCGATTTAAAACAGATGTCATCATTCTCTGCTGTACCAGGAGGCAAAGAGAAGTAATAGAAGGGAGGAAAGATTTGGAGAGCAAAGAGGAGAATCATAAAAAGAAATCAATTGAAACATGGAATTTTTTTGGACAGTAAAGGAACTAAGCCTGTAACCACTGATGTAGAGCTGTATTCTTTGATTTTACAAATAAGTTGAAACCAAGCAGTAAAGGCTAAAAAAAATATTTCACTCTGTGTAAGTTTTCCTTTTTTCTGTAACCTCATAGATTTTATATTCCTGGAGCAGTATCTCCTCTGTAYGTGTTTTCTTAGTGTAGCATGGAGGATACTATCTTGCAGCTGCAAAAATACAAATAGTTATTTACAACTATAATCAGATCAGTGTAGGTACTAATTCCTCTTTATAGGCACATCTGTTCTGCAGAAAACTCATTGTGTAGGGAAACCTGCTAAATAGAAAATTTTAATTAGTACAGGGTTGCATACAACTTTAGCTTTTCTGGAGGAAGACACTTTTATCAGCCATAACCATCAAGACTTGCTTATCCCTGTGAAGAGTGAAATTGCATTTGGCATGGTTTTAGCACATTGCATTCACCAGCTGCAAATGGGGCCCTGAAGCATGAGATATTGAAAAGAACAAACTGTACAATGCTTCATTTCTCTGAGCAACGAATCCCAGCAGTTTAGTCACATAAATAGAATTTCACCTTCATCTCTTTCACCACACTACCGTAGCAGTAAAGCTTTTTTCATCCTTATGCAGTGAGACTGAGTGAAAATGCTTGTGCTAGTTTGAGTTAGGATGTTGCRAGCATTAAAAACCTGAAAATTTTCCATTTCCTTTGTGCTTCATCACCCTTTAAAAAAAACAGGCAAAAACATGATCCGAAACAAAAAAGCTGCCCCCCCCCAAAAACCCCAGCTCAGTAGTTACAGAAATGGATAGCAGCTGATATACTTGAATAGCATTTCTCTTCTTAGGYTACCTAGTTACTCCCTACAAACCTGTTACCTTTCCTGTGTTTGTACACACAGCTGAGTGAATCATGGTTCACCATCAGRGGACGTGCAGTCCAGGGACTCTTGGTAACAAGTGGTCCCAACTCCTGTGGTTGCTGATTGAGGCAGCCCAGCAGGAGCTCCTGCCTGRGGCCCAAGGCTTCTCACCAGCCAAGGCCTGAGTGGAAGCAACACAAAGCTGCAGGGGCTGTGGTTTTTAAACGATTGTCTTATAGCATGTACCCCAAATGGGAAGTTGGATTTACCTTAGATTTAAGCCCATTCTCTCTGATGGTCTTGACATAAATGATGAWTTTTTTTCTTTCTGGATTTAATCAGTACTCCCCAAAAGCACTGTTTCAGTTTAATGTGGAGCCATTTAAATATTCTTTGTTTATGTTTTTTATAAGTTTGCTGTTGACAAACTCTGGTGTTGCATTAAGCAGCAGTGTAACCCCTGTGTGCTTTATTTCAGGTACATCTATTGTGATGAGATCGATTTGGCYGCAGACACCGTCCTGGCCACTCTTTATGCTGCCAAGAAGTACATTGTCCCTCACCTGGCCCGTGCCTGCGTCAACTTCCTCGAGACAAGTCTGAGTGCAAAGAACGCCTGTGTGCTGCTCTCCCAGAGCTGCTTATTCGAGGAACCTGACCTGACCCAGCGCTGCTGGGAAGTGATTGATGCCCAAGCCGAGCTCGCTTTGAAGTCTGAGGGCTTCTGTGACATTGATTTTCAGACACTTGAAAGCATTCTCCGAAGGGAGACTCTGAATGCCAAAGAAATTGTTGTTTTTGAGGCAGCTCTGAACTGGGCTGAAGTGGAGTGCCAGCGACAAGAGCTGACAGCCACTATCGAGAACAAGCGCAAGGTGCTGGGCAAGGCTCTCTACCTGATCCGCATCCCTACCATGGCCCTTGATGACTTCGCCAATGGCGCTGCCCAGTCCGGGATCCTGACTCTCAACGAAACCAACGACATCTTCCTGTGGTACACGGCTGCCAAAAAGCCAGAGCTGCAGTTTGTCAGCAAGCCCCGGAAAGGCCTCGTCCCTCAGCGCTGCCACCGCTTCCAGTCCTGCGCTTACCGCAGCAACCAGTGGCGCTACCGAGGCCGCTGTGACAGCATCCAGTTTGCTGTTGATAAGAGAGTGTTTATTGCTGGCTTTGGGCTCTATGGCTCCAGCTGTGGATCGGCAGAGTACAGTGCCAAGATCGAACTCAAGCGACAAGGAGTTATCCTGGGCCAGAACTTGAGTAAATACTTCTCGGATGGTTCTAGTAACACTTTTCCTGTGTGGTTTGAATATCCGGTGCAGATTGAGCCTGACACCTTTTACACGGCAAGCGTGATCCTGGATGGTAACGAACTCAGCTATTTTGGACAAGAAGGAATGACAGAAGTTCAGTGTGGGAAGGTGACTGTTCAGTTTCAGTGCTCCTCGGACAGTACAAATGGCACAGGGGTACAAGGGGGRCAAATTCCCGAACTCATATTTTATGCTTGAATGAGAGTGTGTGGATACAAAGCATTTTGCAATGAAGAACCTGTCAGGTTCAGGCCTGCAGATTTGTGATCAGTACAGGGAATATGTAACTAAACGCTGTGGGCAAGTTCCTGGCTTGCTGTACTTGTAGCATTGTTGGTGATTAAGTGTAATATTTAAACTGGAAGCTCTTAGAAACAAGCACGTTTTAAAGGCTTTGTAAGAGGGGTGCCTGTTTGCTGGTGATGCCTTTTCTTTGATGCACCTGTGAATCACCAGAGGACATCTCCCTCTTGTATCTCACTAAACACTGTCTTCATGGATCCGTTTCCTCTTTCTCCATTTCCTGATTTMTGCTTGTATTGGGGAGGTAGGGATAGAAAATGAAGAGCCTTGTTTTATGGCTCTCTCTACTCTCTGCTCTGCAGACTTTAGAGATCCCAGTAAACCAAGCTGCTTTTGACCATGGGAGCTGAAAGAAGTCCTTCAGTTACAAACAGAAAAAGTGCAAGTTTAAACCTTCCTCCTTTGAGATTCTCCTGCAGCCAACTTTTTGGGATGGCTTCAGGGGAAGCTGGGGAGAGGGAAGCATCTTTCAGGAAGCTCCACAGTATGCTGACCATGTTCCCAGGGCATGGCCATGTTCACAGTGAGGAAGGGAYGTTGGCTTGGCAAGTTACCCTTGGAGTTAATTTTCTAGGAATCCCACCTTGAAGGCAAGGAAGTACTTGCACAGGTTCAAATTGTGTATGCAGCACTCGAAACTCTACTCCCATAACCCAGCTTTTGCTGCCCTGAGTTGATCTGCTCTTTAAATGGCACTTCTTTGAACCCTTGCTARATAAATGGGAATTAATATCAATCATCTGATGCAGGATAATTTTTTGTTAGTTTTGGGTGTGTTTTTTTCTTTTCCCCTAAACATGGTAGAGGCAAATTTTAGAGGAACAAAAGAATGTATCAATCTGGACTTGGACATTTTTCTGTAATATGAGATTTTTTTTTTCATTTTATTACCAGTTGAAAGTTAGACAAAGAATATTTCCAACTGTGGTCATATTGAACTTATATATATCATCAGATAGCATTGAGGGGGAGAAAGTCTTCTCTAATGTGTTCATGTTGGAGCTCTTGCAACTGCTTATGGCTATATATTAATCAAAGGATTATGTGGTATAGGGCCTTTCCTGTGCCTGATTTTTTTTTCCCCGAAACTTCCTGTTACATGTCTATATAATGTTTGCAAAAGTATGAAGCATATTCCTTGTATCAGGGAAGGAAASCAGTATAAATAAGAACCACAGGTACTATTAAAACATAAGAAAATCCTTCATCACTGCATTGAGATAGTTGTTCCTCAAAGGCTACACTGCTCATGGTAAAGCACCTCATTTTTACTTCACCTTCAAAGTGGGTTTGGTTTGTTGTGTGCGTTTTAATGAAATGAGAGGACCAAATGATTCTTTAGACAGGCTGAAGATTAATGTCACAGTATATCAACACATTAATGTAGCATAACCCTAAATTCCCTTGTCAGTTCTGTAATAAAAATGTTTTTCTCCTATGATTTCTTACCAGTTTAATACTGTTACTCTAAGTGCCGGTTGACGGTTTGAATCCTGGCCCCCAGCCATCTGAAAGTGCCAATACATCTTTGCAGTGTCCAAAATACCATCTGAAGTAAGGAAAACTGGAGTGTAGATATCAAACACTTTATGGCCAAAGCCCAGATCTTCTCTCTAGGTAATAAAAGGAGAGCCAGGTAAAAAAATACCCTGCAGGATTTATGCCTTTCATCCATCTTAGCGTTTAATGTTTTATATGCATACATACATGTGTGGAAGCAACACTCTTTCTGAAATGTAAATAYCCTCAAAATACATAGAAAAATGTTTTGTTTTTTCTAACAGATGTACATAATCCAGACTGTTTGTGAAATCTAAACAGAATGCTCCATGGAAAACTCCCAGAGAGAGATTTTAAAAAACCTCCAGTTATTTATATTTAGATCTGCAGCTGAAAATAGAAAAGAGTATAAATGATATGGAATGAAGGAAGAGTTGCTGAAGAGATGGTGAAAAGGAATCTAAGATTGTGATGAGGTAATGGTCATCTACTTTTAGACAACATCTGAGCAGCAGTTCCATTTATTTAGATACATTTCAARGCAGAGAAAGAGGCTAATCAGCTGATTAAGTTTTCCTACAGCAAGCAGCTGATGCAGATGTAATTACTCCAAGTGATGATCAGATTGACAAGTTGTTTGTGGTAGCAAGCTGCATTCTGAGTTGTTTGGATAAAAACCAGGTGTCTCAGCTGGTGGGACAAGTCAAAGAGTACTGCATTGCTGTAACTAGACTCAAGTTCTCACATTTAATTTATTCTTTGTTTTGACTTACCTGCAAATAAAGGTGAGGTATTTGATACATTCACTGGCTGGAGGAGAAGTTCAAAGATCAGAATACTATAGCTGTAATACTTGGAAAATGAGCTGTTACTTAATTACTGTTCTTATTTGATTCTTTTGTTGAAACTTTTTGACGAAGTGTGATGAAAGCAACCTGTAGCTTAATGCCTCTGAGTCCATTCCAGGTTTTAGRAGCTGGTGCAGGGAAAGGTTTCCAGTGTAGGTGATCAAACAAAGGCACCCAGAACACCTTTTGATGCTCACATTGCTACTCGACTCAYTTCTGAGCACTGTGTGATGCTAACAAGCACTGGGATGTAAGAAGGTGACCAGTACCAGTCACCTTGGGGCATCAGGGCACTTCAGGAGGTGTCTGAATGTGGATTTGGTTGGTTTAGCAGAAGCAGCCAAGCTTGAATACATTGATTGACATTTTGCAAGCATCAGCCATATCAGCCTGGAATGTAAACGTAATGTCAATAGAGATCATCTCACAGATTCTGTCTAAACTGTCTTTGCTACCTGTATCTTTGATTTGCCTGGTGAGAAGAATCTGTGATAAGAGAGTATAATGTAATATACTTTCTGCATATCTAAAGTAGTATTTAAGTGAACATTTTAATTTCTACACACTTATTGCACTGAACTGTTTTGGRTTTTGTTTTTTTGTTGTGATAAACTCGGCTCACTTCAGATCCCAGCACCCATTTGTGCTGAAGCAGTGTTTGACCGTAGCAGGCTTACAGCATTATTTATAAAGGACAGATATATATATAAATATATGAAGTACCTCATGTTGAATGTTATTGTACTGTATCTTCAATGTCACAGTGCAGATCTTGTTGGACTCATGAATGTGTATAATCGCGTTAAACATAAAAATAAAAATGATTCTTAAATGGTTGTTTCCTGCAGTATCTTTGAAGCATGAGCTGTGAAAGCCCTTACTTAGTTATCTTTTTTAACAGGTCTTATTGTTGTGCAGTTGTGCAGGGGTATTTGTTGAGCTTATGTATTCAGGGATCTTTTGATCCCCAAAGAAGCAAAAGTCTAAGGAAAAAAAAACAAGGAAGAACAATGGAAATGTTAATCAGTTACATTGTAAAAAGGTTGACAGTTAAGCTAATGAGCTRGAGTGAATGAGTTCATTTATTTGCTTTATGAAAGACCTTGTCTASTAGCATTAATATTTTCATGTTCTATTAATATTATTAAGCATGTGGAGATGAAGGGGGAGGGTCTCTTGTTTATTCTAAAAGACAGTTGGCACGGGAAAGGCCATGCTTTTCAGTCTCTGATGTATCAGAAAGGACATGTTTAGTGCCAAGAGGCTGTTCTCTGCTGAAAAGTTAATTATATTATTCAGAATTCTGAGTATTAACAATTTTCTTCCAGGGGATTGGAGACTTCATTTTAAATACTTTTAAGGTCAGTGAAGCTGAAGCCTCACTTCCATGATGTCCATCTCCAAGACCTTTCATATATTACTAGGTAATGACAAAAAATACTCTACAGTCTGAGAGCACAATATGGAAATTTGAGGAAATCTACCCCAGAAAAAATCAGTATCTTCAGAGTTCATCCAAAATTCAGATTGAAGCATGTTTACAGGCACCAAACTTGCCACTTATTACTAAGTTGTTTTTCTAGAATGCTTACTGCAGTGCTTGGTACCACATTCTTGATCCAAGCTCTCTTACGTGCCCAGCACTTCTCATTCAGAGCTGGCTTCAAGTGGGAGCTGTGTTATRCCTTGTACTGTACTGATGACACCAGCTCCTAAATATAGGGTAGATATCAGTGTGATTTGGCGCAGCAGGGACCACTGATAGCAGCAGCCTAGCTTGGTGTAGTAGAGGAGATTGGTGCTGCTGGCAGCCTCAAATGCTTTGGTAAACAGGCGAGAGCTAAGTGGACAAGGTGAATAAAGGATGGCCTATCTCATCCAGAGGGACATTCTCTGCTTCTGCCTGAAATCTGACAGAAGTGATAAGGACAATTGCTTTGGAAATTGATTTTAGGGAGAGTAGTGTCAGTCTCTTGCACTGTGCTTGATGAGGCATAGAATCATGTGTGTATTCGTGCCAGGAAAAAAAGGAGTTTGAGGTGGAAGGAAAAAATGCTAGGATGTTTCTGGGATTAGATTCCAAGAGGTGCACTCAGTTGTTTTTCTTGCAGGTAATATCCTGCTTGGTGGAGAAGGGGCTCCCAGCTCCCACTCAGCTGGAAACTCCTCAGGAGCTCACAAGATCCTGTCTGAAGTAGGCTCTGAATGCTCAGCTCTCAAGTRTAGGAACCCAGGATTTCCTGGCCTCTGGTAAGCAAAGGTATTATCCTGCTGCCCAGGGCAAGCTGAGGGAAGCTGACAGAGTCTTTTTGGACCTCTCAAGCCCAGCACTTGCGGATGCTGTGTTCCTGGCCCAGGGTGAAACGGGATGGGGAGTTGAGCCCCTCAGCAGTATTTGGCCACGGTAAAAAGCAGCAGCTTTGAAAGCCAGCCTGTCTTTCCATGCATGCTGGGAATCAGTGGCAGCAGGAATACCTGCTGATTTCCTGAAGGCAATGAAAGGAGCTGCTTTCTCAGGCGGCAGTGTGACCATGTTCAAAATAAAATTAAGAAATGGCTTTTTGGCATGCTGCTCCATTTCTAGARGTCTGAATTTATTTTCTCCCCAAGAATTCCTCATAAAATGAGGCCCTRGCCCAATTGAAATCAGTAGGAGTTGCCCTAGTGACCTCAATAAACGCAGGATTTTCATTTGTAGTGTTCATTTTGTGTGATTATTCCCAAACACAACATAAAACTGCCAAAGAAAGGGAAATTAATTTTGAAATCC